CATAGTACATTCATTATGCATTCATAGAACATTCAGTGCACCTTCATAGTACATTCATAATGCATTCATAGAACATTCAGTGCACCTTCATAGTACATTCATTATGCATTCATAGAACATTCAGTGCACCTTCATAGTACATTCATTATGCATTCATAGAACATTCAGTGCACCTTCATAATGCATTCATAGAACAATGATAAACAGCATAGAAGAATACATTAACATTCTAAAATACCTTAATGTTTTATGATTATACAATTATAATGTCTGTTGTTTTATCTATTAATGCATTACTGTCCTTTTTCAGTGTAGTGAGAGATCTTTTATGATCTATAAAGTTTTTTCAGATAATGTTCAGCAAGACATTTTGAAAAACATGTAATTTAGCAGTTTATTAAGATATTAATGGTACAGAAACACAAATCTTATAAGAATGATGAAGGAAATGGATGATGTACTGCACCAAGCATAATATGCCTATGCCCAATTCTTCTGAATACGGCACAATCAAAATGGAGTAGCACAGATGACATGGAGAAAGATGGCCTGTTAAATTCAGCTCCTGAGGTCACTTCTTTTGAGCTGCCATGAGTACTTATTGTAGTCAGTGCCTGAGGACCTGCAGATCCAGATTAGCTTCGGTCAGTTACAATCCTTCTGTCGTTTCAACTCTGGTCTTCGCCACAGTGCTAGAGACTGATGAACTGTGTCACATCACTGGAGCACTAGTGGGAATTTCTGATTCCTTGGAAGCGCAGGTCTCTCCTGAGTTGGGTACAGCCTAAGGTGACGAGTCAGCGACGCGCTGGTATGCTAACAGCAGCACGTAAACTCCGCGGGACACAAATCAGGAACATGGCCAAACTCAGGGAAGGTATTCCACAAGCGCATACACAAAGCCTTACAACAAATGCCTGGCGCATGAATACACAGACATGCACTGAGCACACATATGCTTAAACAGACACACGTATGTGGACATTCGAAAAATTTGCTCAAGTGAGAACATCAATAGAGTCGCGTGGAAGGAGGAGACAGAGTCACGGAGGCTTTCGGTTGCACTCTGTGGCCAGACAAACATTCTCTTCTGCAAATTTGCTCTTTGATCTGCATTGTTAATCTGATAATGACGTTTAATTGATTATGTGGAATGTGGAGGCAGCTGGCCTGGTTTTGTTTTTATATTACTCAATTTTTACTTTGGTTCCAACTTTCAAAGAGTGAATTTTCTGACCCTAATGTTTCTTATTTTAAAATAAGTTAGGCCATCAACATCAAAAGCTTTTCTTGGTCAATAAACAGGGACATCAGAATTTTTCCATTATGTTCAACATGGTCTTGGATTTCGCCAGCTAGAGGAACATCAATGCATTGAAATAAAATAACAACGCATTCTGTTGGTTGCTTGTATTATGGTGATATAAAGAACACAATGGCTTTGATGTCATTAGCATTCATCTTACAAAGGCTTCCTCCTGTCCCATGGATGTTCCTGCTCTTCAGGATGTGTGCCACCCCTTGTCACTCTCATGCACTCTTTGTTTCTGTTTGTGCTTCACCAAGCAACAACCTCCCACCCTAACTGACGCTTTGCTTGGTGTATAAACAGGATTAGCCATACAAGCTGGTCTCTTGGATCTCCTAAGCGGGCACAGGTAGATTTTGTTTCAACTGCACAATTGCATATTATATGACTATGACTCTTTATACTCAACTGGTTGGCTGAAACAAAATCTTGATCTGAATTTTTACTTTCTGGACCTGAACTATTTACCTCTGTAAGCATGTATATCAGGACCGAAAGAGATACAACCATGCAGTCACCTTGGAAATGCTCACATTGCTCATAGTTACAGGGGGAAAGTTGTGAAAGATCAGGTACATATTTTTCAAAAACAATTTATACCTAATGGTTATGAACTCAAGATATTACGCAGCAGTACAATATCATAGGAAACCAGACCGGAGGCGAAAGACTGTAAGACAAGCTCATGTTCTGTCGCCACGTGCAGTTTGCATCTCTTGTTTTCAGCTGGGTTTGTCAAAGGCTTCTGAGGCTCGATCTTGTAGCCGTCACGCCTGGCTGAGCGGGCGGCTGAAACGGTCTCTCTTGTCATAAATCTGGAGATCCCTGACCCAGCCAGACCCTGCCTAAATCATCCCTAGCCGTGATTTACAATCCCATTTTACCAAGTTCCTAAAGCTCACAGAGACCCCTTTGAAACCCGCCGATGGCAAAAGGAACCATTTTGGGTAGCGTGTTTTTAATAGTCATTAATCACGTGGTGTGAGCCTGTCTGTTCCTACTTACTGCTAAGTTACGTTCCCCGGGACGATGCGGCTCTCGACCCTTCCAAGTTCAATAGTGTGTGTTCCAGTATGTCTGGGAAGGCGGGAGATGCGGAGGCTGAACCCACTGGATTTACAGCTATTGGCTAGTGATGCTTGTTAAGTCTATTAGAAACAGTTGGGGATAAATCTCTCAGCGCAGCACTCCGCAAAAGCGGGACCAGCAGGGAGGCCGACCTGCGGCAGTCTCCCAGGGCAACCAGAAGTGCATCATACTGCAACGTGGGTGGGGTGGGGGGGCTTGGAATCAGAAGGTGTCATGGTGTTGTAGTCTCCTGCTTTGTCCTTTAATTCATTATTCCTGTTTATGTGCATATTAGATCACATCCAGAATATCTTATATTCACACCTCTGTTAGCCGGAGTGGCACAATGTACCTGCCACCAACAGTACGACAGCAACAGTGTTCCGCACCATTGATCACCGTCCCCTATATGATGCATCTGTCTTCTGTTTAAAAGTCCTGGTCCTCATCTATTGCACCACCTGCTGTTTATTCCAGCCCTGAGCACATAGTGAACGTACGGAATAAGACGAGACAGGAAGTGCTAGGTACTGAAGTAATGGTGATGGTAATTTACCTTTACCTCCCATCAGCCAGAAGGACATACCAAGAAAACAGAAGACACAGGGTGAGACAAGGTCTTATAAGCCGTTCACCACCAGCGGCTTCTTCAGTGCCCAAAAAAAGCTGGGTCCTGGATCAACTACCAGAGCAAATCCTCAGACTGCGGAGACCAAGATCACAAGGGCCGTGATCATGCGTTCACAGAGACAAATGAAGATGAGTCAATAACTTCTCCACAGTGGGACTTCCCTTTGATCTGTGGCTGTAATTATGGGCAGTTTTACCCTCTACTTTCAATAGGCTGTGGTACATTTTGGAGAAAAAGAGGAAAAAGCAGAGATAAATCTAATGTGTTGGTCAACCACCCACACTGGCGTGTCGACTCTCTACGCATCAATTTAACATCCAAAATAGAGAGAGAAATGTCTTGTCATTTCGGAGGCACATTTTTACAGAATTTTTATTCTCGGTGCTCCAAAAAAACAGGGTTTCAAGAACTAGACTAGAAGATGAATTTCTGGAGGTTGAAACAAAAGAACTAATTATGAACAAGTTGGACAACCAAAAGAGGTGCAAGAAGAGTGAGACCATCTTGCCTCTGAGTGCATGACAGAAAACAAAAGGATTCTGGGAAGAAGAAGTGTCAGAGCAACATGGCAGACTGTGTCACATGATTGACAAAGACTAAAAGAGAAGAAAATGAAGAGCTGAGGCTGAAAACAGCATCATTGGCAGTCCTTCTTTGACATAACTTTCAATAATGTTATAATATACTTATAAAATATAAATATTTATAAATATTTATATTTCAGCCTTCAGAATGTCATGCTGATACTCTTGTTGTGGGCAATAAAGTTTGACTTCCAACATGGATGGAACAAAGAGCATAACTCAAATCCCATGTTGTGTCTTTGGGTTTGGCTCCCACAGCAAGTGTGCATGAAATGTGCACATGCCCAGATTTTCTTTAGGAAGATCTGGTTTCCTTCTGCTGTCCCAAGACACGCAGATCAAGTGAACTGGTAATGTTAAATTACCCTTATAGTATACAACCATAAATTCCCTTTTAAGTACTTGCATACCATTAAAGATCTAGACTGCCTTACAGCCAGATTACCTTCCAGATCAGAAGATCAAGATCAGAAAACGTCTATGAATGTACGGATCACAGATTTGAGCACCTCTTGATCATAGCTGATAGCTGTTTGAGAACATAATCCTAGTAAGGTGATTTGCTGCTGGAGGCAGAAGATTGAACAGAGGTCAGATGCACAATTCAATGATGTTGTCATCCACTTTAATCTCTTTCTAAGGATAAACCACCATCGATAAATGGGATTAGAGATTAACCAGCAGTTGTCATGTTCCCTTCATGGGTCTTTGTCCTGGATCACGCATGGTGGAGATGCCCAGACTCTCTCTATATTTGGGTTCTGGCCTGGGCTTGTTGGTGTGGTTGAGAATTTCCAACTGGAAAGGAGTTCCCCCTCCCGCCTTTAAAAAACATTACAGCGGGACTCAATACACAAACCGCTCGGCAGCTCGTCTGAAACGTTAACTAAAGAAAACAAGCATGCTAATAGTTTTGTATTTATATATTTTCTTTAGACACTTTGAAGTCTGGGTTCGTGTTGCATTTCAAACCAAAGCTGCTCCGTGATGTGACCGCAAACGTAGGAGCTACAGAGGCTCTGTTTCACCCTGCAGTTTGCACACCCATGCATGTTTTTTTAGTCACAACAGAAGGATTATATACATTATGCACCAATCCTGTACACACAAGAGCCTTCTGAGTTTAGGTCCTCAATCCTCTCCTGATATGGTAAAGGACTCTTCTGGGTCGTCTTCTCACTAATTCTCGTGTACGTGTTGAGTCATCGGCCTGGTGCGTTGAACTTTGTAGTTCTTTTCTCTCTTCTGGAGAAACATGTGGAAGATGCTCAGACGCATGGGTCTGAGGGAGTCTCAGATGACTAACAGAGCCAAGGTACCCACATCCAGACCTGGCTGCAGCCTTATCAGCGTCAGTGTCAACTGCACAATCTTGAAAAGGAAAAAAAAAAATGTTTTAAAAAAAGCATTGGCCTCAATCATAGAAACAGACAATTGTACAGGTTTCTCAACACAGAATGTATTTTTCTCTGAGCCATTCAGGGAGAAATCACACTACTGACCACTCAATTTGGATATTCTAACCCACTACAGCACTCACGAGGTAAAGTTGGTGATGAATAAGTTCCTATCTCAAGAGATGGAAAAAGGTAAAGTTCCTGTCTCTAGAGATGGTGACAGGCAGGTTCCTGCTTCTGGCATTGATTCTAGAGTCCTATCTGTCATGGTCTGTTGATAGTGAATGGGGAGCTGGGTTCATTGGCGAGCCTCAGATGATAAAACAAAAAAAGGAGAAAACACAAAGCCTAGTGCCCCACACACACACACATATTCATGATGCATTATGTCTATTACATGATACAGAACTCTCAACCAAACAAATTAGTGTATCTATGAAAAGCTTGCATGATCACGAGGTGTGCATCTGGTCAAGACATGCACATGTCATGGTGAGGCGTGATACAGGTGGGAAAAGGAAGGTGACGATCCACTTAACAGCTCTAACACAAGCAGAAACAACAAAGGAAAACCCGCAAAAATAAAGGGACCACAAGGGGTCAGAACTAAACGGGCAAAATAATGACTAACAAGGAACCATAAATCAAGGATCCCAGGGAATCCAAGCAACAAAGGAACTAGAAAAGCCAAGCAGAGAAACAACCCACAGTAACATGGGCACTCTGACTACCAACATACAACCACACTGAACCAACAAAGAACAGAACCAGAACAGGCACTTAAATACACAGTTAACAAGACACGCGCAGGACAGGTAAGAATTGTAATCAATTAACCAATCACAAGGACTCTAGGCAAACAAGGAACAGGTGTGGCATATTACAATTACACAGCACTAGAGACTAGGGAAAATTAACAAACACTAAGAAACACTAAGGGTTAAGTAAAGCAAGGAAAACTGATCAAAGGAGGGACAAGGAGCAAGACAAGGAACCACCTGAAATACAGTAACACCAAAAAACAGGAAAGCGCTGATAACCAGTAACACACATTAGGGAAAGGCAAAAAAATATGTGAGGTTTGTTCTTAGCCAGCTTCAAAGCCATGACTAGCAGGTTCTCAATCTCTGATATACATGCTCAGCCCACTGAGCCATGCAGCAGCTCACAGAGCTGGGGAAGCACAAAGGGGCTGAAAGGTGAGCGACAGGGAGGAGAACAGGATGGCCAGCAACCCCTGCTGGGCAAACAGGGAGGATACATGATGGACAGGCACCGACCCTCACATGCACGTACAAGAGGAATGTTTGCAGATGCAGGAGAGACGTTGCCTGGTACAAAGTGGGTTCTCAGGTCACTTCTGCAGACACCGGGTGACCTGAGACCTTAGTTAGTCAAAATCTTAGCCAGACTCAAGGCTGTAGAGCTATAAACCAACTTAAGTAGAACGATAAAGCAACAAACACATCGGTGATCTGGGCCCAAGATACACACATTAATACCCTTATAGGCTAATTATGATGAATAATGGTTAATTGCAAAGTATGAATAAAATGACTAGTTTAATAAGATTATTGATAAGAATACAAGATTCCAGACCAACCATGGTTATTTTTTTTAAACTCCTGTTGGAGAGTGTGGGAACCGGGGGAGAGTTTTGCGTGACGATGTCTCCCCCCCCCCCACACTGGTTTCCATGAGCTCTCGTCTACTCTGTGGGGCGTGTGCTTTGCGTGATGGGTCGCTGTGCCAGCGGAGGCACTGTCACAAGCATCCCCGAACATCAGAAGCATGTGTGACTGTCACTGTGGTCCCGCTCTCTCACACACGTACACACAGCAATGCTCAAGCCCCCGCACTGCAGTTTTCCACCACTTTGCGGCTGCCGCTAGCGTTGCACGGTATGTGAGGACAACAGCGCAAGCTGAGATTTAAACACGGTGCGTGTTAATTGAGCAGCATCCGGCAGCCAAGGACGGCATTTCTGCAAAAACACCGGCAGAGAGCTGAACCCATTCACCAGGGGGCCAGGAACCCTGTAACCCTGCCAAGAAAAATGTCACAGGGTAGAGAGCCATCGCAGTTACCTTGTTTGGATCACGCCCAGCTGGGGGTGTCCAAATGCAGCGAGGGCCCATGAGGCCCTTAGGAGTGTTTCTTTTACTGCTTCCACCATAGCAACCAGCCTCCCCCCCACCCCGTTTGATAAACCCAACTTCACTAACAGTCTGTACCCTTTTATAAGCGGCGTGTGGCCCTTCATGCCTCGGCCAAATTTGACTTTTATTTCTAATACGCCCGTAGCCAGAGCTTTTGGAAAGCAGTGCCTCTTTTTCCCTTCCAACCGCACAGTGGACATCTGCGTGTGTTTTATCTCGCTCCGGCTGACCCCATTCGTCAAACAGAGTCTTTATTTTTCGTGTGTGTTTGAGTTTATTTTCCATAGATCACCCAGTAAAATGTAGTTTTTTGTTTTCTTTTCACAAATAGCCTGGGGGGGGGGCTCCACACGAGAGATGCAGCTCAGAGGCTACGTCGTCGCACTGGCCGTGAGAGGTAAAGGGCCTTAAATTATGCAAGCTGCAGCATAAATGGTGCGACTTGAGCCAGAATTAAATACAGGGAGGGAAAAAAATGTAGGGAAAAAAAACGAGGCAGGAGATGAAACACAGGTGCTGCTTTGTTTGACTTTGATGTTGAACTTCTTCATTCTCTCTTCCAATGGTTTGGTTTTATTAGAGGCATCTACTCAGGTCTCCGCCGCCATTCCGACTTTCCACACGTGGCGATATCTCAGGACAACATTTAAGTCCTTTATACTTTCGGTAAATGTTACGCCTGGAATTTTGGTCATGGGTGCGGAGGTCACTTGGGAAAACACGACGTCAGCAAACAGAGCCTGACACAAGTCCATCACAGAGGGACTGTGTTTGTCTTTGTAGCGTGACACACTGGCCACCCCCTACTATTCAGCCACAGTCAGTGCGGGGAAGGGTGGCTTTGGGTGGGGGGATTTGAGGAAAGAAACCATCTTAGTCTGCGTCTCTGTGGCAAGCCATGCATGCCAACATGTCTTCCCTGTGGAGTCGTGTCGCCTCTACTGTTGTGGTCGTTGTGTTGTGGTCAGTTCTTTGATCTTTACTGACAGGCCTGTTTGAAGGATGCAAACACAAAGGACAATAGTGCCCCACGTCAGGAGTGCATTCATTTTTCCGCTTAAAGTGGATCACGGTCTGGGGATGGAAAACATCCCTGGTAATCGGCGCTCTCTGCCGACTCCCTAGCTGTTCAGTTGTCTCCTTGATGCGGTTTCACGCAGAAAACTCTGAGTTATCTTTCAGTGTGATTGCTGTCTTCAATAGATGCACATACACACAAATATATTACCAAGAATGTAGATTTGGGTATGGATGGTAGGGATGTGTCCTTATCAGTTCAATGTCAATATTGTCAAGTCATTTATTTGTGTAACACATTTAGAAACAACAGGGGTTGACCCACCGTACTGTACTTTCCAGGGAAAATTAATTAACAAGTATTACATTCATTGTAAAATATAAAAATAGCATAAAAACATGCATACAAGAAGTAAGAATTAGGCAGTAGGAATAATAAACAAAATGTACGTAACACTTTATTTAATGCAGTCATTATACTGCATTATATTCAATTTATAAAGAATGCTCTATGAGGCTCTCACCTATAATGCACTGTAGATGCCTTTATAATGCAGCACAATGCATTATGGCTTCACAATGCATTATGAAGGTATCTTTAGTTCATTATAGATGAGAGCTTCATAGAGCATTCATAATGCATAATAAACATGGCTATACTGTGTTATGCCTAATGATAAATATTTATAGCCACGTAAAATATTTTATGATTGTGTTACAATGAATTATAAGAACAGTTATTAGGCTTTATGAATATGGGCTGTATAGAAAGTGTTACAGGAATGGTATACAGCAAACAACAGATTAAAAAGCAGTAAGAGGGCAATTGGAAATAAATTAAGAGTATTATTTAAAAGAAAAGCCATAAGAGAACCTCAAACCAAGGAGAAAGTAAGAGATAAAAGGTGGGTCTTAAATTTAGATTTAAGCTCATCAATAGTGGAGCAGGACCGAATGTTGGATGGGAGATTGCTCGACAGTCTGGGGGCGGCTATACAGAAAGCTTGGTCACCTTTTGTTTTGGAGATGTGAGACTCAGAGGAGCAGTTGTGAGGGTGACAGTTATCAGATCTGAAATGAATTGTGGGGCTAATCCACTGAGTGTTTTAAAACAAATAGCATAATCTTAAAATCAGTTTTGTATATTGTGGGTGATTTATGTGTGTTTATGTGGGGGGGCAGGGCTGATTTGGTCCCGACCGCCTCCCCTGCACACCACTAACATTGCCCACCTTAATGTTTGCATCTCTCCTCTCTCATAGTACAACCCAAGCTACCTTCTCCATCTAATGCCAAGGTGGTTTGATCCTTAAATGTGTTACTTTACATCCGTGTTTCCCAGTCCGGTCCATGGGGACCCACTGACGGTCCATGATTTTGCTCCCTCCTGGCTCCCTGCCAGCCAGTCCATATTTTTGCAAAAAACTTTAAATTAATTAAACGTTTAGCCTTTGGCTCCTCGAGGAAACAGCGGCTGATTTGCTGCTATCCCCGTCCCTCACACGCTTTCCTGATGGGGGAGCCGAAAAACATCACCTGACGCATCCGGAGGAGTCACAGTGATCAGCTCAACCTACCATCCTGTTGTTACAGATCCTCCCAAGTAAAGTCCTGGCAAAGCCTCCATCACCCTGCTCCTGGAACGGCAGACGAGCGTGAAGTACTGGTGGTACGGTTTTCTTTAAATATTATTGATTTTTGTTTAGCTTCAAACACTAAGAACCAAGACTGTGTCAGGGTCCACTTCCATCCTTTCCCACAGCTGTACCCAGGGGCCGGGGATGGGCAAAGACCATCC